CTAATTGCTAGTTTTTATGATTGCATCTGAAATTGTTAGGCGAAAGTAGAATGCATGCCAAATTTCAGGTCTCTAGAGCAATCAGAAGTGGGCTAATTTTCGATGTCAATTTTAACAACAAACATCCAAACAAACAAACAAACGCGAAGCTGAGTTAAGAAAAACGTTTTAAAAACGTGTTAAAAACTTTCATTATGCTGTAATGCTTTAGCATTTATAATGACGATATATTAAATTCTGATTATAGACAAAAACATTTTGTAAACACGAATAGTGTTAAAGAATTTCATTATATTCTAAAGTAATTATTTATTTGTTTTGACGTTTATAATTAAATGTGTAGATATATACATATTCCCAGGAATTATTATGTAAGAATTTTTTTTTACAAGAATTACAAAACAGATTGTGTTACGTTCATTGTTTTTGGTTGTTGTGTGTGTATATATTTTTTTTGTTTAGATTGATACAATTTTTGTTTTGTCGGCCTACATTGTATGTTTTTTCTTATTTCTTCAGAGTGCTACTTTCAATTTATTTTACATCATAGCGAAGTAATGACATAAAGCTAGTAATTATATATATATATATATATATATATATATATATATAAAGCTAGTAATTATATATATATATATATATATATATATATATATATATATATATATATATATATATATATATATATATATATATATATAATACACGTATATAGAACGTGTTCAAAATTCGGCGCCTTTTTTTTTGCTCTTTTCGCTCCCCCTACAACGAAAACCTGGATACGCCTCTGCAAATATACCATTTTATGCAAGCAACATGGAATGAAAACAATATTTAAGAAGAAGATGATTTTAAGATATTTAACGCCGTCCAAGAGGCTTTAGAAACTGCCATGCAAGTTTGAAACTGTTGTGTGGCATCCAAACACATGGTCCATGGTCATTACGGGGTTGAATACGTGAATTGGCTATGTATGGTTGATGGCTTGATGGTAAATGTTCCAATGACGTGAAGACAGTTACAAGAGGAAACCATTCACTTTTACAATTGTTCTCCTAACTATCGATGATGCGACAATGGTGGAACTGCAGTCGTGCGTCATAAAACAATAGACATTCGTTGGATTGATCTTTGGAGATGATTAAGCTATATAGACATTGACCTTTATTCTAACAGAGCTATACTATGCTTTGAAAACTCGAAAGTTGATGAAATCAAATAGAAAGCGATGGTTATACTTAAAGACGTTTCAACGTCGGCTGCCCTATCAGTTTTTAACAAATATTAAAACAAAACGAAGACTTTGTCAGGGAGCTTAATGTATAGTTAGTGCTCTAAAACTAAGTTTAGATATTGCAAAAATTTTGACTGGGGAAGGAAAAAATGTTTCTCACTCAAGTAGACTTAACCCCTTTAAACGCTGAGCCCCAAATAAATAAGCTAAAATACCATAGGACCATAGGTAATGTTGCTGTCTCGAGTACTTACTGCTAACGATGTCAAAATCAAAATTCTTGACCAAAAAGATCAAAAGGAATCTGATGCTATTTCCACACACAAAAAAAAAATAGTTTTTTTTAAGGAGATAATTACTTTGTAGATAATAATTGATATAGGATCTCTGAGTACAAGTAGGTCAACTTTTTGTAAAGCAAACGGAGACGATTTCAAATTTGTTTCGTCAAACAATTAAACATCAAACTGTAGTGGGCCAATAAAACTTTTAAAATATTTTTGAAATTAAATTCTATTTTTCGGAGTCAATTACAAATTTGTTTGATTTTACTTTGTTGAAACAAATGAAAATTTTTAAAAACTTTTCATATAACAGATGTCATAAACTGACATAGTCAACTAAATATATAAAAAGACATAAATTATTTCTGTTTGTCCGTATTCCGACGGGTTTTACGTGTAGTTTTCTATAAAACTGTTAGAAGTTACAACATTGGCTATAAATGGCATCTTTACCAGGCTCATTAGACCTTATTAAATAGTAAATTTTCTGCAAGGGAAATGCCATTGACATAATAATCATGTTGGAAGTGTCGTGCCGTTTATCTCGCTAGATCTAATGGTGTTTGTGTGTGTGTATGTGTGTGTGTCGTAGCACATTTGATCATGGTGAGCTACCCAGAAAATACCATTACAATGTGATATAGCACAACGCTAAGATATTAGTGAGGTGTCGTCTTTAGACATCATTCTTTTTAAAAATAAGTAACCCCCCCCCCCCGCCTCATTCTTCTTGTTGTCACACAAAATGTCTATCCCCATTCCTAAAGTTGATGTTAAATTTCACCACCCTCCGCCACCCCTTCTTTTGATATTTGTGTGTATTGTAACAGGCATTGCTTTCAACCCCACTACCCTCTCGCCTAACATCCTCACATTAGTCTGGACCCCTCGTCTCGATAGGATCGTCACGTCACGTTTTTATCAGTGCATATAAAATCGTGTTGCATTAGCTGTACACATTATGCGTGGAGTATAGCTGCTGTTATTGGTAATTATTGGGACTTAAAATATTGAGAACAATCTTGTAGCTGGTGTTAGTGGGACTTAAAATATTGAGATCAATCTTGTAGCTGGTGGTAGTGGGACTTAAAATATTGAGATCAATCTTGTAGCTAGTGTTAGTGGGACTTAAAATATTGAGAACAATCTTGTAGCTGGTGTTAGTGGGACTTAAAATATTGAGATCAATCTTGTAGCTGGTGGTAGTGGGACTTAAAATATTGAGATCAATCTTGTAGCTGGTGTTTACAAGAAAGTAAAAAATAAATAAATAAAACACTAAAAGTAAATTGATTCCATTGAAATCTTACATTGATTTGCACTCACAAAGAAAGAATATGTGTTTCATTATTTATTATTATCAATATAATATATTATAACAACACTCTAATTTGATACATGTTTAGACTCAGCAAGTCGGCTACACGGGTTAATTCCCCTGTTTAAATTATGCTACAAAATAAGTAAAGAAGCGTATTTACAAAAAATTATAAGTAAAAAAACAAGTATGGAATGAAAAAAAATATTTTTTCATCACAAAATGGAAAATGTAGAGAATTGCTAGGTCGATCTTATTTTTTTATCTGTGGATTAACAAGTAGTGTAGGTAGCTTGTGTACGTGTACACTAATCTTAATCTAGTGGTGTAGGTAGCTTTTGTACGTGTACAGCACTAATCTTAATCTAGTAGTTACAGAAGAAAGTGTATGGTCAGATTAAAAAATCAAATATAACTAAAGAGGTGTGTCATATTAAAGTAGTGTGTCAAGCTAAAGAGGTGTGTCATATTAAAGTGGTGTGTCAAGCTAAAGAGGTGTGTCATATTAAAGAGGTGTGTCAAGCTAAAGAGGTGTGTCATATTAAAGAGGTGTGTCAAGCTAAAGAGGTGTGTCATATTAAAGAGGTGTGTCAAGCTAAAGAGGTGTGTCATATTAAAGAGGTGTGTCGAACTGGTCTATCTGGTTGCTACTCTCTGATAAAGCCACTATGTTGGTGAAGCCATTCGCTGGGGTGTGACCGTTCTCTGGGGTGTGACCGTTAACTTTTTCTTCGGATTTCTCTTTCTTCTCATATTTCTGTGAATCAAATTTTTAATTAAAACATTTCGATGACAAATTGTTTAACAAAGACATCGACATGCTATGACATAAATCTGGCAAAACAGTAATGTAAACAAACATCACATCCTGCTCGACTAAGATAATATGCCTGTAAAGTTGATGCTAAGCTAAGCTGTAATATTTTAGGAGATACTAACACAGGGGGGCTGTGACGCTGCTTTTTTCATCGCCATTGTCACACCAAGGCCTACAACTCTGTAATGTCCTGTGAAATAACTTGTTTAATGTACTTACCCCCTTGTGGACAACACCGAACCTTAGAGGCTTGCGAATTCTCTCTGGTAGGAAGGACAAGGGAAACACGATGTCAAACACAGGACAGATCAGACGGGGGTCCACGTCACTGGCCTTCTTGGCACCTTTGTGAGAATGGGAGATTTTAGCAGGGGCCATAATTATTGTGAGAATGGGAGGAGACTTTAGCAGGGGCCATAATTATTGTGAGAATGGGAGGAGATTTTAGCAGGGGCCATAATTATTGTGAGAATGGGAGGAGACTTTAGCAGGGGCCATAATTATTGTGAGAATGGGAGGAGATTTTAGCAGGGGCCATAATTATTGTGAAAATGGGAGGAGATTTTAGCAGGGGCCATAATTATTGCGAGAACGGGAGGGGATTTTAGCAGGTGACCTAATTATTGTGAGAACGGGAGGGGATTTTAGCAGGTGACCTAATTATTGTGAGAATGGGAGGAGATTTTAGCAGGCGACCTAATTATTGTGAGAATGGGAGGAGATTTTAGCAGGGGCCACAATTATTGTGAGAATGGGAGGGGATTTTAGCAGGGGACATAATTATTGTGAGAACGGGAGGAGATTTTAGCAGGTGACCTAATTATTGTGAGAATGGGAGGAGATTTCAGCAGGCGACCTAATTATTGTGAGAATGGGAGGAGATTTTAGCAGGGGCCATAATTATTGCGAGAACGGGAGAGGATTTTAGCAGGTGACCTAATTATTGTGAGAATGGGAGGAGATTTTAGCAGGGGCCATACTTATTGCGAGAACGGGAGAGGATTTTAGCAGGTGACCTAATTATTGTGAGAATGGGAGGAGATTTTAGCAGGTGACCTAATTATTGTGAGAACAGGAGAGGATTTTAGCAGGTGACCTAATTATTGTGAGAATGGGAGGAGATTTTAGCATGGGACATAACCATGATATAACGAGTTCTAGTTACTGATTGTAAGGAAATTATTGTGAGAATGGGAGGAGATTTTAGCAGGGGCCATAATTATTGTGAGAATGGGAGGAGATTTTAGCATGGGACATAACCACGATATAACGAGTTCTAGTTACTATTGTAAGGAAATTATTGTGATAATGGAAGGAGATTTTAGCAGGGGACAATACCACGTTATATTGATTTCTAGTTACTGATTGTAAGGAAAATAATGTGAGAATGGAAAGTGTTTTAGCTGGGGGACTAACCACGGTATAACGAGTTCTAATTACTATTAGTCCAAGGATTACCGTGAGAAACTATGCTGCTAACAACAAAGTAAAGTTCCAGCTAGAAGTTAGAAAGTTAACAAACAGACCCCTACTTCACTAGATAAACACACAAAGTCAACAAACACACGTGTAACTTACCAGTTATAAAGCTTACAATGAGACCAATGGCAATGCACGTGAGGACAGCTGTAGTGCTGTACCACATGTAGGATAGTGTATAGAGATGGTAGGCTGGCACGCTGGGAATAAAGAGAGTGTATAGTGATGGTAGGCTGGGAATAAACAGAGTGTAAAGAGATGGTAGGCTGGGAATAAACAGAGTGTATAGAGATGGTAGGTTGGGAATAAAGAGTGTATAGAGATGGTAGACTGGGAATAAAGAGAGTATAATATAGAGATGGTAGGTTGGGACGCTGGGAATAAAGAGAGTATATAGAGATGGTAGACTGGGAATAAAGAGAGTATATAGAGATGATAGGTTGGAACGCTGGGAATAAAGAGAGTATATAGAGATGGTAGACTGGGAATAAAGAGAGTGTATAGAGATGGTAGGCTGGGAATAAAGAGAGTGTATAGAGATTGTAGGCTGGGAATAAAGAGAGTGTATAGTGATGGTAGACTGGGAATAAAGAGAGTGTATAGAGATGGTAGACTGGGAATAAAGATAGTGTGATGGTAGGCTGGGAATAAAGAGAGTGTATAGAGATTTTAGGACAAAAAATCTATTTCTTTAGTGTTTTCTATTACAAAAACTAGCCAGCTGATTATATTGGTGTTAGTAAAAGAGGGATCAATGATTATATGACCGATATATAGATGGCTGCCGTTGCCATGGCAATCATATTTTTAAAAGAGTTCCTGATGCTTACAAATATTTTCCCTAAAGTTCAACTTAGATATACACCAATAAATAAATAAATTATATTAATTAAGAAGTTGGTTTTTTCTGAAGCCTAACCCTTGATGAATATCTAGGTACTTGTTAAAGATTTCACAACCGACCTTGTGTCAACAGTTGATGCGGCAGTAGAATTTAACTTGCTCAGCATTTCACTGCTGAACGCTGTAACGTTGCAGTTGGTAACGAAGCGAAGCGCCTTTTCTGTGGGTGGCTTCACTACCGCCGCTCCAACTCCGATCCAGAACATGAAGATGAGACTACCAAATAGCCCCGAATAAGCGCCCTAAAAGGAGATTTTACAAAACATGAAGATGAGACTACCGAATAGCCCCGAATAAGCGCCCTAAAAGGAGATTTTACAAAACATGAAGATGAGACTACCAAATAGACCCGAATAAGCGCCCTAAAAGGAGATTTTACAAAACATGAAGATGAGACTACCGAATAGCCCCGAATAAGCGCCCTAAAAGGAGATTTTACAAAACATGAAGATGAGACTACCAAATAGACCCGGATAAGCGCCCTAAAAAGAGATTTTACAAAACATGATGAGACTACCCAATAGACCCGAATAAGCGCCCTAAAAGGAGATTTTACAAAACATGAAGATGAGCAGAGTTTCTTCCAGGCATCTCTTCGGGGGGGGCGAAGTCCCCCCCCCCCCCAAATCATTTTTACCGCCCCCCCCCCCTGAACGAAATGAACTTTATATAATTTATATAGAAAATATATACTTTTAACAGTGTCCGCCCCCCCCCCGAAGAAAGTTTACCGCCCCCCCCCCCCCCGAAAATTTAAAGTGCCCCCCCCCCCCGGAGAAAAACGTCTGGAAGAAACACTGAAGATGAGACTACCGAATAGACCCGAATAAGCGCTCTAAAAGGAGATTTTACAAAACATGAAGAAGAGACCACCATATAGACCCTAATAAGCGCCCTAAATTGAGATTTAGGGCATCTTTAAAACAAGCTAAAATATTTTCAGTGTGAAATTACTTACTTGAATTAAACAGATATGGAGAAAGACAACACAAAAACAGTATCGATGTTCTAAATTGTTAAAGAAATCGTAAATGTATTTTGACCAGCAGAACTTACCCATTTGTTAGCCCAAGGGAAGAACATGCCCAGAGAAAAGACGCCGAGTAAAGGCCCTCCAATCATCCCAAACAGCGACAGGGCAGCCTGTGGTAGATAGAAACTTTACCTTCAGGTCGTGTTGGACACGTCAAATAGAAACTTTACCTACAGGTTTTATTGGACACGTCAAATAGAAACTTTATCTACAGTTTTTATTGGACACGTCAAATAGAAACTTTACCTACAGGGCGTGTTGGACACGGTCAAATAGAAACTTTACCTACAGGTTTTATTGGACACGTCAAATAGAAACTTTACCTACAGGTTTTATTGGACACGTCAAATAGAAACTTTACCTACAGGGCGTGTTGGACACGGTCAAATAGAAACTTTACCTTCAGGTTATGTTGGACACGTCAAATAGAAACTTTACCTACAGGTTTTATTGGACACGTCAAATAGAAACTTAACCTACAGGTTTTATTGGACACGGTCAAATAGAAACTTTACCTACAGGTTTTATTGGACACGTCAAATAGAAACTTTATCTACAGTTTTTTAGGACACTGTCAAATAGAAACTTAACCTGCAGGTTCAGTTGGGATTAAATAATTTATGTCTAATCTTTGTCTCTTGACTTGTCAAACATTTCTCTCATGCCTTACCTGTAAGATGTTGCCCAGCTGGGAGGCTACGTACGTTAAGCCTAGACAGACCAGCCCAAATATAAGAGCTGGTGGAAGAAGGCAGTACAGGACGTTATAACATAAGGTAATCTGTGGTAGTCTGTGGTAATCTGTGGTAGTCTGTGGTATGGTAGTCTGTGGTAGTCTGTGGTAATCTGTGGTGTGGTAGTCTGTGGTAGTCTGTGGTAATCTGTGGTGTGGTAGTCTGTGGTAATCTGTGGTAGTCTGTGGTAATCTGTGGTGTGGTAGTCTGTGGTAGTCTGTGGTAATCTGTGGTAGTCTGTGGTAATCTGTGGTGTGGTAGTCTGTGGTAGTCTGTGGTAATCTGTGGTAATCTGTGGTAGTCTGTGGTAATCTGTGGTTTGGTAGTCTGTGGTAGTCTGTGGTAGTCTGTGGTAGTATGTGGTAGTATGTGGTAATCTGTGGTAGTCTGTGGTGTGGTAGTCTGTGGTAGTCTGTGGTGTGGTAGTCTGTGGTAGTCTGTGGTATGGTAGTCTGTGGTAGTCTGTGGTAGTCTGTGGTAGTATGTGGTGTGGTAATCTGTGGTAGTCTGTGGTGTGGTAGTCTGTGGTAGTCTGTGGTATGGTAGTCTGTGGTAGTCTGTGGTGTGGTAATCTGTGGTAGTCTGTGGTGTGGTAGTCTGTGGTAGTCTGTGGTATGGTAGTCTGTGGTGTGGTAGTCTGTGGTAGGGTAGTCTGTGGTACGGTAGTCTGTTGTGTGGTAGTCTGTGGTAGTCTGTGGTATGGTAGTCTGTGGTGTGGTAGTCTGTGGTAGGGTAGTCTGTGGTATGGTAGTCTGTGGTAGGGTAGTCTGTGGTGTGGTAGTCTGTGGTAGGGTAGTCTGTGGTATAGGAGTCTGTGGTATGGTAGTCTGTGGTATGGTGTTCTGTGGTATGGTAGTCTGTGGTATGGTAGTCTGTTGTGTGGTAGTCTGTGGTAGTCTGTGGTGTAGTAGTCTGTGGTAGGGTAGTCTGTGGTATGGTAGTCTGTGGTGTGGTAATCTGTGGTAGTCTGTGGTGTGGTAGTCTGTGAGGTAGTCTGTGGTAGTCTGTGGTATGGTAGTCTGTGGTGTGGTAGTCTGTGGTAGGGTAGTCTGTGGTATGGTACTCTGTGGTATGGTAGTCTGTGGTGTGGTAGTCTGTGGTATGGTAGTCTGTGGTATGGTAGTCTGTGGTATGGTAGTCTGTGGTATGGTAGTCTGTGGTATGGTAGTCTGTTGTGTGGTAGTCTGTTGTATGGTAGTCTGTGGTATGGTAGTCTGTGGTGTGGTAGTCTGTGGTATGGTAGTCTGTGGTATGGTAGTCTGTGGTATGGTAGTCTGTGGTATGGTAGTGTGTGGTATGGTAGTCTGTGGTATGGTAGTCTGTGGTATGGTAGTCTGTTGTGTGGTAGTCTGTTGTATGGTAGTCTGTGGTATGGTAGTCTGTTGTGTGGTATTTCGTGGTAGTCTGTGGTATCGTAGTCTGTGGTACGGTAATCTGTTGTGTGGTATTCTGTGGTATTGTTAATCTATGGTAATTTTTTGATATGGTAAATTAATGATATAAAAGTCGGCAATACTGTTGACAAACCATGTATTTAAGAGCCTAACATAAATTTAGTTTTTGACTAAAAACGAAAAGGGAAACTAACCAATAATTTGCGAGAAGAGTCGAGCCCTTGACTCACGCAGGTCCTTGGCGAAATATGCTCTAATCACATCCTCTAGAATACAGGCTGATATAGAGTTGAGACCAGATGATATAGTGCTGGGTGGAATAAAGAGAATACAGGCTGATATAGAGACCAGATGATATAGTGCTGGGTGGAATAAAGAGAATACAGGCTGATATAGAGACCAGATGATATAGTGCTGGGTGGAATATAGAGAATACAGGCTGATATAGAGACCAGATGATATAGTGCTGGATGGAATATAGAGAATACAGGCTGATATAGAGTTGAGACCAGATGACGTCATGTTTTTATATCATGTATTTATGAATGCTGTTTTTGGAATGTAGTTACCTTAAAGCACCACTGAACAGACCGGCTACAAATAGACCTGGAAGTCCAATGACGTCACCCAAAATGTCCATCACATACATGGGGATTATCTAGAGTTAGACATGGGGATTATCTAGAGTTAAAAGTTTTGAAAAAAATGTAGTCTCCTAATTCTTTCAACTATAGCAGAACAAGACAAAAAATCTTTCACATTAACACATCACAGATCACAGTTCGAATTATATATATATATATATATATATATATATATATATATATATATATATATATATATATATATATATATATATATATATATATATATATATATAGTTTTTTTATATATATGGTATTATCTAATATATATATTTTTAAACCATAACATATAAACGGGTATAGGACAGGACATTACCGACCCCTCCTCATTTGACCCTTGTTTCAGTCATTACTACATAGATCAGTCTTTATCCGTAACACATACATTACATTCTTGTATGGGTTTTAATGGTAGTGCTCAGGTTCAAAGGATCGTCACCAACATCATCCGTTACTTAGTTGACGTCATCACAATCAACGTTAACAATTTGACGTCATCACAATCAACGTTAACAATTTGACGTCATCACAATCAACGTTAACAATTTGACGTCATCAAAATCAACGTTAACAATTTGACGTCATCAACATTCAACGATACCTGGTTGACGTCATCAACAAAGCCAGACTTGAGAGGGTCACAGTTCTCGTAGAAGGCAGACATGTAGAGACCAATGAAACAGCACAGGTAGAGGATTAAACACAGACCGGGAAAGTTAAACCATATCGCCCTGGGGAGGGAATAATTCATATAGTATATATATATATATATATGTTGGCTGGTACTCTATGGTTGGCTTGTTATTTTAAATAGTTGTCATAGGTTGCTTGTTTTCTGTGTAGTTCTATTTCTGGCTGATCTTAGCTGGATGGTGGGGTAATGTTTCCCCCACCCCTCAACCACAAGACGGCGCCCGGTTCTCACGGCGCGGGGGTCTGTCAGGTGGTCACCAAATAATTTACGAGCGTTCACAGTCGTGGACTGTGGCCGGAGACCAGCGTGACAGGACCCTAGGTGTGTGCATGCATTGTATTTCGATTTTATGTCCTGTCTACCCAGTGCCCGTCTCCTTAAATTTACGAGCGTAAGGTCGCGACGGCCAGTTGTGGTCAGCAGATGGTCTAAAGGTATGGGAAAAAGTTTGGTTGGAGGTAGGGTATTTAAGAGGACTGTGTAAAGCTCTCTGTCTCTTACACACACGCAGCTAGGGCTAGAGGCTACTCGAGGCCTTATGGCAGCTGATGTATTGTTGATATGGCCTGGTGTTTACACCAGCGGCCCAACGTCGTGTTCTTGTAAATATGTGCTTCGTTCCTGTGTGATATTATTGTTATTTGCTGTGGCCTAGATGGATGTGGTACGTGTGGCCAGATATTGTATCAGAGGCCAATGTCTTTTTCTCCAGTGGTTGGAAACCCTCCTGCCACTTGAGTACGATGTTTTTACCAGATGTCTGATGTCTAGTTTCCTCGCTTGGAAATATCCCTGTTGTTCTGGTGTCGAACTAGGTTGTTTTGAGGACCACTGTGTACTCATTTTTAGACAGATCTAAACCAAGAATTAGTGGAATCAGAACTAGGGATATTATCATTTTCAGATGTGATGCTGGGATTACGTAGCAGTGCAAGAAATAAAATTAGGACTAGTAATAATAACTTTGACAAGTGTGATTCTGAGATCATGTAACAGTGAGAGAAATGAAATTAGGATTAGAGTGTAATTCTGAGATTACCTAAACAGAGCAGTAGTATAGGACTTGAGGAAATGACCTTTGTCTGTGTGTATTCTGAGTTGTGCAAATGTAGGGTTACATATGTTTTATAATGAATTAATGTGAGTAAGCGAGGGAAATAATTCTATATGGAGATGTATGTTTAAGGATTTGTTGTCATATTTTATTTGTATTAAGGACTCAAGTAATGTTCCTTGAATACGAAAGACTGGCCAGGTCTTATGTGTATTATTTGTGTTGTCTTCGGCTTTTACATATATATTGATAAATAAAGGCATATTATGTGTGTTACTATGTTTCATTTTTAGTGTAATATTAATGCTGTATTGTAGTGTTTAAATGTTAATTGGTTTGCTCAGGTCTTGTAGACCTTCCTGTTTCATAAGGGAATGCACGGATTTGAGAGAACAATACCATCTAACCATTTCTCTTTTAAATCGGTTTAACCCCCACGTAACATATATATATATATATATATATATATATATATATATATATATATATATATATATATATATATATATATAGTATATAGTATATAGTATATAGTGTATAGTATATATATATATATATATATATATAGTATATAGTATATAGTGTATAGTATATAGTGTATAGTATATATATATATATATATATATATATATATATATATATATATATATATATATATATATATATATATATATGTATATATATGTATATATATATATATATGTATATATATATATACATATATATATACATATATATATACATATATATATATACATGTATATATATATACATGTATATATATACATGTATATATATACATGTATATATATACATGTATATATATATGTATATATAAGTTTATCATTCCTCACGAATGTACTAACGCAGATTTAACGCCACCATTTCTAAACTCACATCTGGGCTTTAGAGAGCGATGGGCACGTGACTGCCCTCTGTACCTGGGCCTGGTTGACGCCAAAAATAGCCACCCAGGTGAAGTAGGCGCCAATGGTGAGTGACCAGACGGAATGTCGGACAGCTGGATCAGGGTTAAAGCTGTGGAGTAACGTCAAAACTCTTCACATTAGGATAGGCTTAATCTATTCACATTATATTAGGTTAAATCTATTCACATTAGGATAGGCTAAATCTATTCACATTATGTTAGGCCAAATCTCTCTACATTATGATAGGCTAAATCTATTCACATTATGTTAGGTTAAATCTATTCACATTAGGATAGGCTAAATCTATTCACATTATGTTAGGCCAAATCTCTCTACATTATGATAGGCTAAATCTATTCACATTATGTTAGGTTAAATCTATTCACATTAGGATAGGCTAAATCTATTCACATTATGTTAGGCCAAATCTCTCTACATTATGATAGGCTAAATCTATTCACGCTATGATAGGCTAAATCTATTTACATTATGATATGCTAAATCTATTCAGATTATGATAGGCTAAACCTATTCACATTATGATAGGCTAAATCTATTCAAATTATTATAGGCTAAATCTATTCACATTTTGATAGGCTATATCTATTCGCATTTAGATAGGCTAAATCTATTCACACTATGATAGGCTAAATCTATTCAGATTATGATAGGCTACATTTATTCACATTATGATAGGTTAAATCTATTAACATTATTATAGGCTAAATCTATTCACACTATGATAGTCTAAATCTATTATCATTATGATAGGCTAGCGCTGCTAAATCTATTCACAATATGATAATCTAAATCTATTACAATACTATTTGATAGGCACAAATCTATTGAGATTTAGATATGCGCACATGTATTCACACAACCCATGGGGACGGAGTGGCCTAGCGGTAGAGAGCGACCGCTAACTCGTAAGCCTCGAGCTTGAATCCGCGTTCAAGTCAGTAGACCGCCACTGAGTCCACCCAACTCTGATGGGTACCTAACTGACTTTAGGGAAAGTAAAGGCGGCTGGTCATTGTGCTGACCATACTATCTCTTCATATGCCGAGGTCACAGAAACAGGTGAACTCTAATTCACTTAGAGCTCCATAGACTGCCAGGAAGGGGAACTTTACTTACCCCCCCCCCCCCCTTAAAATATTTTCTTTAAACTATGCTGGACTATCGAAAAAAAAAGCTGAGGCCATGTCATTATCTAGTTACATCTGCTCTTGAAAAGCCAGCGGCTAGTATCTCGGGAAAGCACCAAACGGTGCAGCCGTCCACATATGTAGGTCTCAGGGGCGTGTCACGTGGTCACGTGGTCACATGGTCACGTGGTCACTCACTCAGTGAAGTAGATCCGGTTCGTCCTCTCGGCAGACGTCCATGTCTGGTTGAAGCCGCCCCCCACGATGTCGCCTTTGATGAGGATGACAACGAGGCTGGCGATCATCATGAAGATCTGGAAGCTGTCTGTCCACAGTACAGCTTTCATGCCACCCTGGGGGGGGGGGGGGGCAGGTACAGTCAAATCAAGAGGGTATCCCATGTTAGGCACAGTCAAATCAAGAGAGGTATCCCATGTTAGGTACAGTCAAATCAAGAGGGTAAGTCGATGTTAGGTACAGTCAAATCAATAGGGTAAGTCGATGTTAGGTACAGTCAGGTCAATTTAAAAATCGTTGCCATATACAGTCTAATCATATATATATATATATATATATATATATATATATATATATATATATATATATATATATATATATATATATATATATGTATATATATGTATATATATATATATATATATGTATATATATGTATATATATATATATATATGTATATGTATATATATATATATGTATATATATATATATATATATATGCCAATTTTTTATGTATTATTTCATAACGCTAAATATAAATATTAAGTTTGACTAAACAAAACAGAAAGTTATGATGAGTGCTATCTATTACAAAGTGTACTCACAAAGGCCGTGTATAAAGTGCAGACGATACCGACAGAGATCACAGAGCCCCATAATGTAAAGCCAGTTACTGCAGGGAATAAAGGGACACAATTGATGATAATCTTACACTGTTTGTTTGTAGGAGTTAAGTCAACTGTTTTTAAATAAAGGCCAGCATTTGCCTTGCTCCATGTTAAAGTCTGCACTGTTGTAGATTTAGATTGGTTAAAGTCGTCAATGTTGTCGGCGAAAAGACATCAAGTGATTTTTACTTTAGATCAGGGGTCTCCAAACTTTTCCAGCCAGATGGCCGCATTAACTATCAAATATCAGTTCGGGGGCCAGAGTTTCTTCAAGACATCTCTTCGGGGTGGCAGCGCCCCCCCCCCCCTCCCGTAGAACGTGTACCGCCCCCCCCCCCTCCCCGCTTTAATGAAATATAATTTACATAGGAATATATAGAAATTTCAAGTGTTGTCCCCCCCGTCCCGTCCCCCCCCCCCCCGGAGGAAAAAGTCTGAAAGAAACACTGTCGGTGGCCAAAATCACACTCGAGGACCAAGTTTGCTCTGAAATTGTTCTTCACGTATTACAATCTTGAAAATATTTGTTCACACAGGTATCTTGTTCCAAAATTTGAAAGGTACTTTGATGCAAAAGTTTTAATCTTAGGAAAATCTTCCTCTTGCAAAAACTAATTAAAACCCACCCGCCCTTCTTTGAACGTGTCTCTAATGACCTCCAGCTGCAGTTCAGCTTTGCAACTGGCCACATTTGCTTCAAATGGGTTCTGAAACAGTTTCATTTTTTTCTGCCTTTGAATCCAAGTCAAAAAACCGCTACTGAAACTGCAGCTTGAAGTCTTTGATGATCTCGTATGCAAATGACGTGGGGAACTCAGTGGTTGCTTCAGCCTAAAGACCTTGCACTACTGAGAGTGCGTAAGTTGCTGGATTGTACTTGTTCCAAAAACATGACAAGTTTGGATCTGAAAGCCTTTAGGTGGGTGTATAGATCAGAAACTAAATTTCTATCTCTTGTAGTTTTAGGTTCAGAAAATTTAAATGACTAATTATGTTTGCAGCAGAGGCCAATTTCTATACCCACTCTTCATCAGACAGTAAGTACATCAGCTTGTGGCTTGCCTTTACTTTCAAGGAAGTCAACTTAACTTTCTTAACTTAAATACTCTGCTCAGAAAAATTTCTCGCAAATTAGCCATCTTACTGCTGTGAGATATGGATTCTGTGTTTCTATTTTTTAACACGTTTTTGAACTATCTATGTTCTCTCCGGTAACAGTGCCATACATTCTATGTAGGGAAACCAGCTCTTGTGTTATGTTTATGTCTTCATCCACACCTCTAATGAACACAAGCAGTTGAGATGTGGTACAGCTGTCCATCAACTGATCCATTACAATTAAAAAATTGCCAAACTTGCTTGCATTTTCGTTATTTGAGTCACGATGTTTTCATCGATGTCTACAACTCGGCGGGCAATGGTATTTGCCCCCAAACCTACATTTTCAAATTGTTTTGAATTTTCTGGGCATAGTTCCTCAGCCACCTCTAACAAACATTTATTCCGTGGACAAAAAGATCGCCGCGGGCCGGATGAGAGGACCTCGCAGGCCGCATCTGGCCCGCGGGCCGTAGTTTGGAGACCCCTGATCTAGATCGTAAACGAAAATGAAAGGTTCATGTTGGTAGATATCTTCATTATGGTAGCGCGTTTGAAAGTAGGTCGCTAGATTGTGGCTGCTCATAAATGACATTTTCATGGGAACAAAACGTGGTGCAGATTTTTAAATTATTTTTTTTTAATAGAGAGGAAGATGGGGGAGGGGGTTTGAAGGAGTAAACTTTGTGGCTTTCTTTCAGGGAGGAGTGAGTGGTGGGGGAGATTTGGTGACGAGAAATGAGATGGGGGTTGTGGGGAGCAGGTGGGGGGGGGGGGGTTGTGGGTGAAATGATTTTCATGGGGTGACCGCACTCATATAGTCAGGATTTTAAAAAATTAATTACATTTCACTCTTTCACGTCATCACGTGTCAATCGTAACTCGCTAAATGATTGGAACAAAAACCTGAAGTAATTGCATACATTAGCCAAATTACTGAGTATTATATAGGTTATTCTTGGAAGAATATTAACTAATAATCCCATTGAGAATCTAAAACTTTACCTGCATTTAAGGCCAAACTTGGGGCATACAATACAATGGCCATATGCAAAATATTAACTAATTATCTCATTGTCAGTCTGAGAATCTAAAACTTTACCTGCATTTAAGGCCAAACTTGGGGCATACAATACAATGGCCATATACAAAATCTGAAAGAAAGATAAATTTGGATGCATTACATGTGTATAAACATCATACACATAGCAAGCAGTGGTGAGTTGTTAAGAGATTGATACTGGGGATGATGTAATCAAGGGGTGGTGGTGGGGGTAACAAATGGATACAAAAATATCAGATCACTCCTCTAGGTGACAGGGTAAATCCGTGTACTTGTGGGGGTGGGGGTAAGATGGGTATACAACGAAATGAGTAGAAAGTAGAGTAATGCAATTCAGGAACAACGGTGATTGTAACATGACCTATTTGTGATTGTAACGTGACCTACTGATGATTGTAACATGACCTACTGGGGATTGTAACATGACCTACTGGTGATTGTAGCATGACCTACTGGTATTGTAACATGACCTATTTGTGATTGTAACATGACCTATTTGTGATTGTAACATGACCTACTGGTGATTGTAACATGACCTACTGGTGATTGTAACATGACCTACTGGTGATTGTAACATGACCTACTGGTGATTGTAACATGACCTACTGGTGATTGTAACATGACCTACTGGTGATTGTAACATGACCTACTGGTGATTGTAACATGACCTACTAGTGATTGTAACATGACCTACTGGTGATTGTAACATGACATACTGGTGATTGTAACATGACCTACTGGTGATTGTAACATGACCTACTAGTGATTGTAACATGACCTACTGGTGATTGTAACAGGACCTACTGGTGATTGTAACAGGACCTACTGGTGATTGTAAAAGGGTTATTGTAACATGACCTACTGGTGATTGTAACATGACATACTGGTGATTGTAACATGATCTACTGGTGATTGTAACATGACATACTGGTGATTGTAACAGGACCTACTGGTGATTGTAACAGGACCTACTGGTGATTGTAAAAGGGTTATTGTAACATGACCTACTGGTGATTGTAACATGACCTACTGGTGATTGTAACATGACATACTGATGATTGTAACAGGACCTACTGGTGATTGTAACAGGAACTACTGGTGATTGTAACAGGACCTACTGGTGATTGTAACATGACCCACTTGTGATTGTAACATGACCTACTTGTGATTGTAACATGACCTACTGGTGATTGTAACAGAACCTACTGGCTATTGTAACATGACCTACTGGTGATTGTAACATGACCTACTGGTGATTGTAACATTACCTACTTGTGATTGTAACATGACCCACTTGTGATTGTAACAAGACCTACTTGTGATTGTAACATGACCTACTGGTGATTGTAACACGACCTACTGGTGATTGTAACACTACCTACTGGTGATTGTAACATGACCTACTGATGATTGTAACATGACCTACTTGTGATTGTAACATGACCTACTGGTGATTGTAACAGGACCTACTGGCTATTGTAACATGACCTACTGGTGATTGTAACACGACCTACTGGTGATTGTAACACTACCTACTGGTGATTGTAACATGACCTACTGGTGATTGTAACATTACCTACTTGTGATTGTAACATGACCTACTGGTGATTGTAACAGGACCTACTGGTGATTGTAACATGACCTACTTGTGATTGTAACATGACCTACTGGTGATTGTAACAGGACCTACCGTTGATTGTAACAGGACCTACTGGTGATTGTAACATGACCTACTGGTGATTGTAACATGACCTACTGATGATTGTAACATGACCTACTGGTGATTGTAACATGACCTACTGGTGATTGTAAAGAGTTTTGTAAGAGGACCTACTGGTGAAGGTTGTTATATACTATGTGAAGCAAGGACCTAACCAACTCACCATCTGAAGGACGAATGTCATGGAGGCTGCCGTTCGAACTCCACGACTGAAGCGTTTCTCTAAGTACTGGCGGAGAGACAAAATCATAGACATACACATTTATATGTTATACACATATATGCACTCGTGTACTCTTCCACATATACGTACACGTACACATAGTAAAAAATTACTGACATATTGACGGATGTTGACATTTTGTTGTGTGTTATAAATACATGTGCAGAAGTTTCCAATAAAATGTTATTCTTTCAAGTCATAAAATGTCTCTTATGATTAACGACATGTCACCAGCCTGGTGAAGACGTCAAACGTCATACACTTTAAATGTGAACTTTTGTAGCATACACTAAGCTTTGGCCCACAAACTTAAAAAAAAAATTAGACTCCGCTACTGAAGAGGCAAAGGGATAAAGGGAGGTAACAATGTCCAGAAACTATTCTTGAATTAGTCTGTTTATTTGACAACAAAGACTCTGTCAACATACGATCTTTACCGTGTAAATTTTTTTTTCTGTGGTCGCTAAGACATTCGCACTCGGAAACCAACGCAAATGAGCGCTAATAATGTCATCTACATGGACGTCACAAACGTATGTCATTAGGTCAGGTCTTATCTCCGTATGTCATATCGTGTCATTTGGTGAACCTCTACCCTCGGATGCCAAATACTACCATAATTTCTACCACACTGGTGTCATATAGTGTCATTGTGCATAAAGCCATAGGACATTATTTTTAGACTTCCTAAGATAAAATATTATATTGTCACTATGTGATACAATATTCCATTGTTACTGTGTGATACAATATTCCATTATCACTGTGTGATAAAATATTACATTGTCACTATGTGATACAATATTCCATTGTCACTATGTGATACAATATTACATGGTTTACTATGTGATACAATATTACATTGTTACTATGTGATAGAATATTACATTACCACTATGTGATACAATATTACATTGTTACTATGTGATACAATATTCCATTGTCACTATGTGATACAATATTACATTGTTATTATGTGATACAATATTACATTGTTACTATGTGATACAATATCGCATTGTTACTATGTGATACAATATTACATTGTCACTATGTGATACAATATTACATTGTCACTATATCACACTATACATATGACGTCACGCTCTTACCTCATACGCACTGGTCACACCGAGGTGATAAAATATAGGTATATACACATGTGCTGCGCCAGCTATAACCAGCAGGTAACCAAGTCCTATCCAGAAATACATCGTGGTGTAGTTATACATCTCTGCTGGCGTCCCTAGCAACGTAATGGCTGACATGAAACTGGCCAGTAGAGACAGCCCAACAGGGATGGGGCTCATGTTTTTACCGGCTAACAAAAAGTGGTTCATGGATTTGTTCCTGCGATCTTTGATAGCAAAATATAATCCAATGGCTGCCGAGATGAACAATATGGCGCCGAAGATGACGTAGTCGAGCCAGGTGAAGGTCTTCAGGTGCCCAGTGTTGAAGCTGTAGTCGCCCTCAAAGATGGGCTGCCTCATCTGCTGGCTGGCCGGTGCAAAGGTCGCTGCAGGCACCGCAGACATTTTACTTCGACCAAATACCTACTCAGATGGGACGTGAACTGAATCGTGCCGGTTTCAAAACTAATAAGTAATTCACTCTAGATTCATCTGTGAGATAGCGGCATCTGCCAGGAGTAGAAGTCTTGCATCCACCTGAAAATATTCCACGGGAACGATTTTATAAGAGTCAATCTCAAAAGAAAGATAATGTAGGAATGTTATGTGCAAAAAAATTACCAGCGGTAAAGAAGAGATAACAAGTTTCAAATATTAACGCCCATACATAAGACACGTTTATTGCAGCTGAATACAAGGACACAAAATGAAAATCTTTTATGTCAAGTCTTTAAAATATACTCCAAGTTTGTCTTAACCTATATCCATTTATATATGTGTGCGTCTGTGCATGTGTGTGTGTGTTTGTGTGTGTGTTTGTGTTTAATTTATAGCCCAGTTATTTTAGAAAGTAAGTTTCAAATCTATCCGGAAATTTTCATTTAAAACTTCAGTCTAAAACGAAGCGTAATGGTTAATGTACACAAGTGTGACCTAAAGTTCAACCAAAACAGAACCCTAACCCAAACTTATACGTAAAACCTGACATCTGACTCTAACAATTAACTCTGATCACCAATCTAACCGTGTATCAGAAAATTGGAGTAAATTACTAACAAATTGAACCCAAGCTCAACATTAGACATATCCGTGACACAAATACCAAATCTAAATTGAATGCAAAAGTAAATTTCCCTTTTCAAACCTAACGATCTATCTGGCAGACAAAGTAGAGTTGAACACAAAATCCTACAAACTGACCTCACGATATCTGATGACACCTACCCCTGTATTTTTGATACCACACACCACGTTACCAAATGTTTAATTTTATTTAATAATAATAGCTAATCAATATTTGACTTTTATGACGAATGCGTATTTAAATGATTAACATTATCATTATCCATTTGTCTTTTTTACAAAAAAGATACCTTCAAAAATACAAGATTTTACGAAAAATATATAGATCTTAGATCTAGAGCTAGAAACTAGACTAGATCTAGATTTATGTCTAGCATTTTTTAGATCTAAATGTTAAATGATTAAATGATCACTTTCAATTTGTTAAAATTCAAAGTTAAGTTGTGGACTGCGTCCATTACAAGAATAGTACATTAGGTCTTTTATACAACTCTACAAACCCCATTGGATAATTAATCCAGTCTTTAGTGCTAGTATCATTCAATAAATACAAATCAAGAGCAGTACGAACAAAAACCTTTTGTTGTTTCCTAAGCAATAAATACACATCAAGAGCAGTTCAAACAAGCACCTTTTGTTGTTTCCTAAGCAATTGATCCGCCATGTTTGTGCAACATCTCCGTTCATTAAACCCGTGTGCAATAAAGTGTACACGCCTACATACAAGCATTCATGGTATTGCTCCTAATAAATGGATCATTATTTGACCGTAGCATGAAATTATAGCCAGCCGTTTTTTCAAGATAACGCTGGACCGTGACATGACATTACCCAGGCACCGGATGATATTCTTGTGATCTCAAACAACTGACGTGTTTGTGGTTATGATATTTTATTTTAGTCACGATCCACTTTTGGTAAAGTGTTTTACAAGTTTAAACAACTCCCAATCGTTATATTTGATATAACTGATACCCACATAATGAAATAAATTATGTTTCATCACAGTGTTATTTGACGCCTTACTGTATGTATAGACGGTAAATCTACAAACCACACCACAGAGAAACTAAACTCCCTCTAACTGACTCATCGCTTACACTGGCAGCTGAAATGCTGAAAGAACTTTCTCGTTATATTTGCCTGACAAGAAGATTCAACGATAGTTCTGTACTAGAAGAGTCAAATAATATTTTACGACTGCAATTCAACGCCCCCGCTTCTTTCGCTCTTTACAACCAACACAATAAAAAACCTGCTTGACATCATTACTCATGTACGTCAATCACAAACCTGTTTGACATCACTACCCATGCACGTCAATCACAAACCTGTCTGACATCACTACCCATGCACGTCAATCACAAACCTGTCTGACATCACTACCCATGTTCGTCAATCACAAACATGTCTGACATCATTACTCATGTACGTCAATCACAAACCTGTCTGACATCACTACCCATTCACGTCAATCAAAAACTGCTTGACATACACGTCAATAAAAAAAAACCTGCCTGACATCACTATCCACGTACGTTAATGAAAAACCTGCTTGACATTACTACCCATGCACGTCAATAAAAACCTGTCTGAAAACTACCCCTCCACTGCAACTTGCAGACCATCTCCCCGTCACGTGGACAGATCCGCCGAGCTATATTTTTAGCGCATCTTATTTATTTATTTAATTAATTTATTTATTTATCTCCACTGTGCCCGGACATAGTCATCCACCCATCCCAACAAAACCGGAACTATCCATCAGCTACAAAATAAATCGCTTAACTTCTTTATGTTAATTAATTAAGAAATGACTTACCTAATTACTTAACATGTCCAAATAAAAGAAAAAAAGTTAATTAGTTTCACGTAATATACAAGCGTCTCATTTATGCCCATCTTTAATCAAAAGAGTTTTTACATTCTAAGCACAGACCAACAGTATCAACTAAGATGGGTGACATTTTACGGTTTCCTTGTCAAGCACATCGTCACTATCTGCACCAAGCCAGCTGATAGTGAGGTCACCAAGACAAATGACAGAGTGAACCCAACATACCAACAATGTAAGCATGATATTCAATCAAATCACCTCTCACCATTAAAAGAACTATAGACATGGGTCTTTGTTACAATCATCAAGATAACCTAGAGACAAATTTTACATTAAAACCTGACATTGTGGAAGTCAGGATTAACAATAGACACATAAAGAACCCAAAGCTAACATTGTGAGCATCACCTAACAAGTGGATAAAACATCCCCCCCCCTCCTGACTGACCAAAAGACTGACATTTTCCCTTCTGACTGACCAAAAGACTGACATTTTCCCTCCTGACTGACCAAAAGACTGACATTTCCCCTCCTGACTGACCAAAAGACTGACTGTAAAACTTACCTATGACATCCAAGAAGACAGCTGGTTTTATCTTTGTTTGTCCCGTCCACAGATTTGTTTGACGTTCACCTGTCCAGTGGACGGCTCTCAAACTGTTGAGTGGTGACCTCCCCCGACCTGCCCCTCACTCAGGGTCAAACGCTTAAGGTCAGCGCGTGTTCAAACAAGGCGGCGCTGTTTGTTCTGTCAACAGAAACCTGACGTCACTCGAAACCCTCCGACCTCGTGACATCATTTGTAGTCTAACGTAACTCTAGGGCACCATGACAACTATAGGGCAACATGACAACTAAAGGGCAACATAACTGTAGGGCACCATGTCATCCGTAGGGCACAATGATAACTACAGGGCACCATGACAAATATAGGACACCGTGACATATATAGGGCACCAGGGCAACCATAGACAACTATAGGGCACCACGACATTTATAGGGCACCATGACAACTATAGGGCACCATGACATCCATAGGGCACCATGATAAATATAAGCCACCATACAACTATAGAGCACCGTGACATCCTTAGGGAACCATGAAATCCATAGGGCACTATGACAAGTATAGGGCACATGACAACTGTAGGGCACCATGACAACTGTAGGGCACCACGACAATTATAGGGCACTATGAACTATAGGGCACCATAACAACTATAGGGCACCACGACAACTATAGGGCACCATGACAATTATAGGGCACCGTGACATCTATAGGGCACCATGGCAACCATAGACAACTATAGGGCACCACGACATGTATAGGGCACCATGACAACTATAGGGCACCATGACAACTATAGGGCACTATGAACTATAGGGCACCATGACAACTGTAGGGCACCACGACAACTATAGCGCACCATGACAACTATAGGGATCTATGACAACTATAAGGCACTATGACAACATCTGACATCCATGATCTTACGACACTCTGGACAAATGGTTCTTAACCAGGGTTCAATAGAACCCCAGGGTTTATGGAGTCAGTCTCGGGGTGTTCGGCGAGGTCAAGACACACATCTGACTCAAATGATTCACATCGGATTTTGTTATTGTCGATGATAGAACAATTAAGAAGGGTTTGGTGAATGTTCATACGAGACTGTTAGGGTTCGGTACCTCCAAAAAGGCTAAGAACCACTGGCCTAGAAAATCCTCTATCATCCTCATCTGTGATGTAATTCACCTAGGTGCACCAGAACTATCACCTCAGCCATTTTTCTTCAACTGAACTGTATTTTTGGCAGTAGCGTAGATAGAATTTTATGCTGCCATAAAACCATATATATTTTAACACATATATTATAGACATACTTTACGAGGCATTTGAAATATAATGGTTTATGAATAATTATATATTTTTAAAAATTTTATAAAACGTAATAGAAATAGACAAAGCAGTGGCTGTCTCAGTTAACATGGACCTAGGCTTACATAAACACACACATGCACATACACATATGCCTATATTATATTATATATATATATATATATATATATATATATATATATATATATATATGTGTGTGTGTGTGTGTGTGTGTGACCAAGAACAATGAGGTCTGAAAGTACTGCATAGTTCAAGGACGTTTATATTGATGTGTATCATAAAAGCATTTGCAGAAGTTTCCAATAAAATGTTTTTCTTTCAAGTCATAAAATGTCTCTTATGATTAACGACATGTCACCAGCCCGGTGAAGACGTCAAATGTCATACACTTTAAATGTTAACTTTTGTAGCATACACTAAGCTTTGGCCCACATACTGTTTTTAATGAATACTGAAGAGGTAAAGAAATGGGGGAGTAGGTAACAATGTCTAAGAGTTATCTTTCACCGTCTATCAAGCATTGAGCGATATACTCGATACCCTGTCATCCCTTGTCTCAGTCTGTGAGCAAATAATTTGACTCTGATAACTTCTCATTATGAGTAGGTGTAAGGTATAGAACTGTCTTGACTCTGATAACTTCTTCCTATGTTTAGGTGGAAGGTGTAGCATTACTGTCAAGAACTCGATAGCTCTAGCCAACAACTAATAACATCTGTCTGCAATGGCCGTTCTGTGCTCTTTTTACTTAATCGTATACAGGGTATAGAGGGAGTATTGTAATTGTGCAAAAAATTCAATATTTTCAGTATTCCTCACTTTATTATATACGGAATATAAAGGATTTCGCGTAACGGTGCAAAAAAATCTAAATCGAGATTTTGACTAATATTGATGTCTTGATAACCTTTACGAGACAGAAAAAAAATTAGTTTAGCAATCTTTTCATTCAGAATTTACGAGAAAGTTTGAAGAGATCAACCAAGCTTTACTTAAAAGCGTATTGTGGAAAATAAAGAGTGATCTCTTTTAAAACTTCGAATATTTTTAAATCACAGTGAGAGTTGATATGAAACTTCCGATTTAATGCGGGTATGGAAATATAGATAACATTTCTTAGAACATGCTTTATGAGAATACATTATAGAATAATCAACTTCTGAAGGTTTTTAAAAAATCGGAAATATTCCAAAATATCAATGTATAAAGCACGAATTTTCCGCTCCAGTATATAACTTTTAAAACAATTTAATCGCATAGAAAGAAGAATTGCTCATCAATAGTGATATAAGGTTATCAAATATATACACACAGACGGACAATGATAGCCAAACTAAAAAAATCAGCACTGGAAGGTTGTAAAACTTCTAAATTTGACAAAAGCTCTATCTAGATTTTTGCACGAATATAATACATCCATTGGAAATCGTATAAAGTAGGGAGGTGCAAAACGGCGAAAAGTGTCCTCTCTTTTAATTTTTGTGCAACATATTACAATTCTTCCTCTTTAGTGTTGATACAAGAAAGCCTATATTTAATGAGTTTATTGCGCCGGGCCAAAAACAAATTGTGCTCGATGTTTTTCCATGATACGCTTCAAGAGGCTCACAACTTTTTATTGTTTTTCAAGTGGCGTGGGCAGGGGGAGCTAGAGGTGTATTAACCCCCCCCCTCCCACCCCCTCCACATGGACCACATAATAGAAGTTGTATCGCGTTAAAAATTCGATGACATTTTGTCTACGCAACAGTCTTGTCCAGTAATCAACGTGGGGAATCCTAACAATAGCCGTAGACAGCAGATCGCACAAAACGAGATATAGAATGGATTAGAATATTATCAATAAACAATGTAACATGTATTATCTATTAAGTAAGAGGCACACAGCAACAGTAGGTGGAAAAAAACCCACCGTGTTTGACAAAA